ATATATATCCATTAACAAAGCAGCAGAAGAGGAATCTGGGAGTAGTCTGGTAGTAGTGCACTATGGAGTGACATCGCAGGACAGTCAGTACATTACTGTACTATACCTAATTTACTTTTTCACACACTATGTACAAAGGCATTGAACAAAGTATGTGTTTGGAAAATAGCTAACTAATAAACCACTTCATGTAAACCATGTCAATGCTTTTTAGTCAGCTGGACTGAGTCTGAAAAAGCATGGGATAAAACTGGACTCGCTGAACATAGCGGACAATGAGGACTGCTGAGAAGTCAAGAACAATGGCACTGGGTTTTGATCCTACTGGACGTACTGGCTTTGTGGGAGCCTAGGCAATTTGGATGCTCACCTTACTAGACCTGGAAGGAGGTGGGTGGTCCTTGGACTTCCCACAGGGCAGGGAACCCTGACTGCTCTTCGAGCTGATGAGGGAGGGGAAGTTTATTGGGGGAGGAGGAGGAAAATGGGAGGCGGTGGTGGGGAGGAGGCAGAAATCTTTAATAAATAAATAATAAAAAAAGAGAATTAATAATATTATGTAATGTTACTACAAAGAAAACATGGACATTAAATAATCATGTGCTGACAATTTTAGGCCACAGTTTATTTTGTAGATAAATCTTTTTCTAAATTTCATCTTCAAAAAACTTTATACAGATACGTATACATTTTAAAATTATTCAGCTATCTCTTTTCTCCATTTTCTTTCACTTTCCCTTTTCTTTGTTTAAAAGTTTATTGGCTATTTTCATACAATATACACTGATTATATTGTTTCCTCTATCCCAAAACTTCTTAGATATTCCTCACCTCAGTAGCCACTCAACTTCATGTTCCCTTCCACCCTTTCTCTCAACTCCATTTCTATGTTAAAAAAAAAAGAAACAAAAATTTAAATTGATTTTTACAAAAAGGAAAGAAAGAAAGGAAAAAAGGAGGGAGGAAGAAGGAGGGAAGGAAGAAAGGAAGGAAGGACAAAAGAAAGAAAGATGGAAAGAAGATGAAAGACAAAAGACAACTTATCAACCAACCACATTTCAGGGAATGGTCCATGCAGTAGTTGCCTAACACAAAATGGTCTTCCATCCTTTTCTTAGGGCATATTGTGTCGGTTTAGCTCTTTCTAGAACTGGCCCATAAAATCTATAAGGGGCTAATATATATTATTGTTATTACGTGTGTGTTTATATATATATAATCTATAATGGCTAAGACTTGATTTCAGTGGAAGATTATGTGTTTAGCTCTTTCTGTATACCTGTTTATGTAATTTTGAAATTGTATTTTTCTTTCTAATTTTCTGATCATTCTTTTCAGATTTTAAGTCTCAATATCTTACCCTTTGAAATTCATAAGACTTCTGTCCTCTGGTCCCACATACACCTAACTAATTTATCTGGTATGTAAGTTCTAAATTCATAAATTTTATTACCTGTCAACCAACAATTTCCATGTTTAATATTATGCTCTGTTATTCTTTTCTGTTCTATGAACTACTCCTGTTTACTCACTGTACTGAAATGTGATATTAAATGTAACTTCAAAATCTAAATCTGCATTTCCTAAAGTATACTAATTTTTCTAACGTTTCTACTCTGTTCATTTTGCTTTTGTAGTTCAAAAAATGATGATATTATTCACATATATTAATAAAGTTACTTTAAATATTATTTTTAAATTTTTATATAGTTTTGATAAATGTATACCCAAACTCCTGGATCTTTTCCCTACCTTTCATTTTCTTCTTTATTGCCTACATCTTCTTTATTAATTCTTTATTTCATTCCACTGGACTACTTAAGTGTCTCTCTAACCTTATTCAATGCCTCTGGCTTTTTCTTATATTTCAGCTTCTACAAAGGTGCCAACTTTTTCTAAAATATAAATAGGATCATATTAATCATAAAAAGAATAACTTTCAAAATTATACATTTTAGTAAACCTGCCACACAGCCCAATGTCTGTAACTAACAATGCTGTGTGATACAAACAAATTATGTCAAAAGAATGGAACTTAATATATAAGTTCCCCCAACAAACTAATAATGGAAAGGAATAAGAGAAAGTTGGAAAGTAATGACCGTGACAGTTTCATGTATATACTCGTTGGATTATATATTTTAAATATGCATAACATTATATGTGTCAATAATACCCAACAAAGTATTTATCAAAACAAAACATATAGGATATATTAAATAGCCAGGTGCCCAGGGCGATGTCCCCAATTAGTTCCTGGGGCAGCTGAGGACAGAGAACCTGAAATGACCCTATCCTATAGCCATACTGATGAATATCTTGCATATCACCATAGAACCTTCATCTGGAGAAGGATGGAGATAGAGTCAGAGACCCACCCTGGAGCACCGGACTGAGCTCCC